TCTAACTTTATAGCATTTTGCAGCTGGAACTGTCCCTTGTCCTGGTATTTTTGTATACTGTACAAAAAAATGTATAAAAATGCACTGGAATTGTGCCTGTAGTGTAAAATGATATACCTCTTGACAATAGTTTTGAAAAATGGCAACTAACTGATGTGAATATGATTTGTTTTAGGCCAAACATAAACGCTTTCTGGGCCATTCTGCTCACTTGACAAATATACGCTTCACAAATGGAGATCGCTTTGTTGTTAGTGCCGGTGGAGATGACAGAAGGTATGACTGAGGCGTGATACAACTGAGATAATTTACAAATGGACATGGCAAACAAATATTAAGTGATGCATCCTTTTATGTCCTCTGTAGCCTCTTTGTGTGGAGGTGTGTCCACACCCCTCACTGAGGATCACATCTGGACCGTCCTGCCTCAGAGAGTCTGGGCATCTCCCAGCATGGCTCTGCAGAGGAAAGACTCTGGTACAAGATGCATTTAAAGAAGGAGGGCAAACATGGCAGCTTGTTAATAAGTTAAAGTGGTGTTCTGACTTACTGCCTCAAAACTAGGTGCATGCATGTGTGCAAAGTTCATTTTCATTACTGCATCAGTCCTGATTGTGAACACCAGTGGAGGGCGTACAGCCCTGTCCTCACAGCATCACATCATTACTGAGAAAAAAAAATCATTTTTCATAATATACTATTTGCATATGCATATAATTTCAGTGTTGAATTATTCTTTTTAGAAAGAGCGAGTTTGTGACCCAGACAGTAGTTTTGCCGCTGGGCAGGCCTATGACAGTGTTACTGGCAATGCCATTTTTAAAAACAGGTAGCAAACTGAATTAGCCTTAACTGAGTGTTCGTTGGAAGGTTTGGATTCTTTTAGTATTGTGTTTGTTTCACTTTTTGTATCATGTAGTCATTTGTTTATGCTATTTTTACTGGTAATTCCAAATCCTGTGGCCTTCCTCCTGAATGTAACATCCACTGTTATGTTCTGAATGTCAGCATGCCAAAGCATACTATGCACTGTACACCTGACCTGGTCACTGTGTTCCCCTGATGGTTCATTTATGGTTTGTTAATGTGGTTGTGTTGTTGACTGGTTGACAAACTTTCCATGGCAGTGTTCCGTTCTTGACATGTTAACATGTTCATACGTGGTTAATGGGTGTGCATGGCTTATTGGAAGACAATCTGTCTGAACCACATTCCTGAGAAAACAAAAAGAAGAACAGCTATAAATTGATGTTTCAATGAACTATTGCAAATCTTTCAGTCACTTCTCAGTGTGCTGCTACTGTATGATGTATAATTGTTGCATTTTCATGAATATGAATGGTGTGACTTTTTTTCAGCAGCAAGTTAATGTTTTATCATATATATTGCTCAAATGGAATGTTTTATCTGAGAAAAAATATAAAAAGTGCAAAACATTTTACTTGTATTAACTAAAACAAAATGTTGTTGCATATTTTAATTTACATTATATCAGTGTAAATATCATTTGTATTCTTTTTGTATAATTTTTTTTAGATGTTTCTTAAATTCCATTTTAATAAAAAAAGGAAACCATAAAGTTGAGTTTGAAGTGAAAAATCTTCAGAGTAAAGAGGACGTTAGTAATAACGTGATCCGTAATAGAAACAATGTAATGACATCACCAGTGCTCAATCAATAAACAAACATTGCTGCTCTTTCATCATTCTGATGTTACCAGGAAGTCAATCATTAACTCTAAAGAATGATGAGCTCTAGCACAGTGTGCTATTAATTCTAAAGAATGATGAGCTCTAGCACAGTAACTCTGGACATGCAACATCTGCCACATAAAGAGAAAAGACTCCATGTAAATTCAGTGTTTTACTTCAGGTGAAATATAATTTAGTTTAGCTATATATCCACACATATGGCCTATTTACATATTTTTACATATGAAAGCACAGAATACTCAAACACTTAAACTGTGCCTTTGCTTTGTTTGAATACATGATACATTACAATTGAATATTGTGAACTAAGCTGTCAATGAGCATCACTGACAAAGAGCATGATGACTAATCATATCTCTGCCCTTCTTTTGGTTCAAGTAGTTTCACACCCCAAAAAAAAATCTGATAAAAATGACCATCTACCTGTTACAGTGAGGAACAGAAGTATTTGAACACCCTGCGATTTTGCAAGTTCTCCCATTTAGAAATCATGGAGGGGTCTGAAATTCACATTGTAGGTGCATTCCCACTCTGAGAGACAGAATTTAAAAAAAAACTCAGGAAATCACATTGTATGATTTTTAAAGAATTTATTTGTCTTGCACTGCTGAACATAAGTATTTGAACACCTGAGAAAATCAGTGTTAATATTTGGTACAGAAACCTTTGTTTGCAATTACAGAGGTCAAACGTTTCCTGTAGTTCTTGACCAGGTTTGCACACACTGCAACAGGGATTTTGGCCCACTCCTCCACACAGATCTCCTCTAGATCTGTCAGGTTTCGGGGCTGTCGCTGAGCAACGCGGAGTTTAAGCTCCCTCCAAAGATGTTCTATTGGATTGAGGTCTGGAGACTGGCTAGGCCACTCCAGAACCTTGATATGCTTCTTACAGAGCCACTCCTTGGTTATCCTGGCTGTGTGCTTCGGGTCGTTGTCATGTTGGAAGACCCAGCCACGACCCATCTTCAATGCTCTGACTGACGGAAGGAGGTTGTTGCTCAAAATCTCACAATAAATGGCCCCATTCATCCTCTCCTTAATACAGTGCAGACGTCCTGTCCCCTCCACAGAAAAGCACCCCCAAAGCATGATGTTACCACCCCCATGCTTCACAGTAGGGATGGTGTTCTTGGGATGCAACTCATCCTTCTTTTTCCTCCAAACACGACGAGTGAAGTTTAGACCAAAAAGGTCTACTTTGGTTTCATCTGGCCACATGACTTTCTCCCATGCCTCCTCTGGATCATCCAGATGGTCTTTGGCAAACTTCAGACAGGCCTGGACATGTGATGACTT